TAATATACTTTAAAATATAATTTATTGCTGTGATCAAAGCTGAATTTTCATCATTACTCCAGTCTTCAGTGTCACATGATCCTTCAGAAATCACTGAAATATTCTGATTTAACATCAGTATTGGAAACAGTTTTGCTGCTTCATATTGTTTTGGAACCTGTGAGTCTTTTTTCAGGATTCTTTGATGAATAAAATGTTAAAAAGAACAACGTTTATTTGAAATAGAAATATTTTATCTTTTGTAACAATATACACTACCATATATTTGGGGTCGTTCATTTTTTTATTCTTTTTCTTTTTCTTTTCTTTTTTAATGCTTTTATTCAGCAAGGATGTATTAAATGGATACAAATTGATAATAAAGACTTACATTGTTAGAAAATATTTCTATTTTAAATTAACATTGTTCTTTTTAACTTTATTTATCAAAATATCCTGAAAAAAGTATCACAAGTTCAAAAAAAAAAATTAAGTAGCACAAATGTTTGCAACATTGATAATAAATCAGCATATGAGAATGATTTCACAGTAATGGCTGATGAAAATTCAGATTTGAATCACAGAAATAAATTATATTTTAAAAGTATATTAAAATAGAAAACCAGTATTTTAAATGGTAATAATAATTTACAATATTACTGTTTTTTCTGTATTTTTAAATAATGTCAAATAAAATGTCAAATAAATCCAGCCGTGATGAACAGAAAGACTAAAAATCTGATCCCTTTGATCCCACATTAAAAACTGATCCCAAACTTTTGTACAGCAGTGTATATATACACTCTCTCACTGATATCCATATTATTATGGGGACATTTCATAGGCATAATAGTTTTTATACTGTTCAAACTGTATTTTCTATTTCTGTACCCTAAACCTACCCCTCACACAAAACTACAGCCATTTTTAGATTTTCAATACACTTCTGTATGATTTGTAACCTTGTTTCCTCATGGGGACCAAAAAATGTCCCAACAAGATCAAAATGTAAACACTCCAAGTATTACTAAATAAGCTAAATAAATGTATTACTCAAAAATACAAATTAAATAGTGTTTTAAAGTTTTTCAGTAGTAAAGGCTTCTACAGAAATAGCCTACTACAGACATTTCATGAAGTAATGTAAAATTAATCTTCACTGTATACATTAAATATAGAGGATTCTTATTAAAGTTAATAAGTGATTCAGTCAAGAGCAGTGAGTGATTTTCTCCTTTTTCTTTTGTTTGATTAACATTTATGACGCAGTCGGCGGCTGCGGGTTTACGGTTGCTTTAAGATCTGACAAATGGATCAACATTTTTGACACATCCGTATTTCTCCCAACTGCTCAAGTTCACTTAAGACAAAACCGACTGCATTTACATGAATAGTCTCCATGACGGGCATTTTGACATAACTTTTCATGTAAGTGTGTAGCAATAACAGAACTTAAGAGAACTTAAGCGAAAGAGAACTTGGCATTCGCACACTGACTGAGAGACGCGTTCTGTGAGCGCGCTTTCGGTGTGTGAGCACAGAAACCCTTCGACTTTCAAGTACTGGACAAGACTTAAAAACACATGCAAATACTGAATATCACTTTTGTGATAATGCATTGAGTCAGTGACATTTTCTCAACTGTCCCTGGACTCGGTTGGACTCTGACATATTTTTCGAGTCCGAAAGGCTCAAGTCTGAGTCAAGTCTGAGTAAAAATGCATCCGAGTCTGTGACAAGTCCGAGTCCTTTAAAAAATTGTACTTGAGACCGGACTCGAGTCAGAATACGAGTCCGAGTACCCCAACACTACTGTCCGCTGCTTTTGATATGGTGAACCACCAGATTCTCCTGTCAACCCTATTGGAAAATGGCATCTCAGGAACCGTACGCCAGTGGTTTGAGTCTTACCTCTCAGATAGGTCCTTCAAGGTATCTTGGAGAGGTGAGGTGCCCAAATCGCAACATCTAGCTACCGGGGTGCCTCAGGGCTCAGTTCTTGGACCACTTCTCTTCTCTGTCTACATGGCATCACTAGGTTCTGTCATTCAGAAACATGGCTTTTCATATCACTGCTATGCTGATGACACTCAACTCTACCTCTCATTCCATCCTGATGATCCAATGATAGCTGCTCACATCTCAGCATGTCTAAAAGACATTTCTTGTTGGATGACGGATCATCACCTACAGACTGACCGTAGCAGATTATTTTACACAGGGAGAGGCAGCTCTAGTCCTGGATGGCCACTGTCCTGCAGAATTTAGTTTGAGAAGTTCAAAAACACATTTCCCTTAAATGATGCACCCCCTAATGGCTATTTTGGGTGAGTCTTTGTACTACCATTCTACCTTGTTTCAAGGCCCTAGGTCTTGAGTTCACTTTCATTCGGTCACTCTCGATGTCACATCGGTGA